AGCAGAGGGGAATCCGTCTCTGGTTGGCCGGAAAACTCTGTTAAAAGCCATTGACATCCACCCGGATCTACTATTACGACCTCAATGTGAGATGGCTTCTCTCGGCACAATTGCTCCCAGAACAACAAAGCCCACCCTAGATCTGATAATGGCAAGAAAGAGGAAATTTGAACGGCAAACTCATCCTGCCAAAACAGATTCAAGCCACCCCTTCTCTCGGCATAATTGCACGCAAAACAGTGAGCCAACCCTAGATCTATTCGGAACAAAATCATCTCCATCGTCGATTGCTGTGATGCAGGGAGCAAAATAGAGTTCGGCATTTGTTGGAGGCACGATTTAGTTGACTCAAAAAACAAATAAACCTCTCCGAGATTGCGATGAGTCCAGGCCAACATAAGCGGATGAGCCATGGGAAGAAACGAAAAGAGAAAACCGAGGGAGAAGCCCTGCACGAAAACAGGGAGAAACGCCTAGGCGAGGGACTCGATCGTCGCAAGGAAACCCTAGCGGCGGCGAGAGAGAAAGCTCGATAAAAAATTCGTTTTGACTCAGTAATATTAAATATTAAGTTTAGACTATTCATTCCTATGAATTACACATTCAAATTTTATGAAAATTCTTTTCTCATCTCTCAATTACCATATAAATATTTATAATATGTTAAAAAAAAAAAAAAAAAAAAAACCCTTCCAAAATCTCATGTATATAAAGAAAAAAAGATGCAAAATAAAAATATCTCTAGATCGAGAATCGAGGATTTTCAAACTCAAAAGTCTCTGGTCATCTGCACCCAGACAAAAAAATTGAGATAAAAAAAAGGGAAACAAATTGCCAACGACTAGAAATCTAACGGTTGCTATTGAAAAGGCCACTGATCCAACGGCTCGAAGTGGCAATGGCATGTCAGCGTGCTAAATTTTTTTTTTTTTTAAACAGCACACTGCCTGTTTCTCTCATCACTCCAATAGCAGCGTTCTGTTCTTCTGTAAAAAGCTGATCACTTCATTTAAATAGAAGGTCATTGTACATATGACAGCGGCAAAAAGGCCTCTGATCTGAAGCCTTTAAATTTATTTTAAAATAATATTTAAATTTTTAAATTAAAAATAAAATAAATAAATTTTTTAATTTTATTAATGATATAAATAAATTTTTTTATTGATGATATTTATATTTTTAAGGTAATATTAAACATAAAATACTGCTTGATACTTTGTAAAAAAAATTTATTTACATTATTAATAAAGTTTGAGGACTCATCTACTTCATTTTTAGCTTAAGACCTTACATGTTATTTTAGGGTAAGTCTAGGGATTTAGGAAGGGGTTTTTGCCTATAACAGCTTATGTGATTACTTTCGGTAAAAGGACAATTTTTATAGTAAAAAAAAAGGAACAATTTTTGTGGTACCCGAAAAAAAACCTTTTGGTCTTCTAAGTTGGAGCACAAATGTGGGGGTGGGGTTATTGCTACAAGAATTTTA